GGCAATATTGTGTATATATGAAGTATGCAGGAATATCGTTTCTGCAGATAGAAGTCATCAGACTAAACTGCGTTGTCGTTGTTATTACAGACCCCAAACCTTTACCAAGTTGTAATAATAATGGTGACGATGAATTTTGTTTCTCCTGCCGTGATCTTATTTTCCTTGCAAGCACGTTGCATTTTTGTGGGATTATGTCTTTACATTTGTTCGAAATGCAGTAATTTGTTAGGAATTCATAGATATTTTTATAATCTGACATTATTTATTATTACATTAAATATAAATTTAAATATTATAAAATATAACGTCTAAATACAATGAAAAAGTTGTATTTCAGAACTATATAACTTCATATTTTTAGACGATATAAAACGGAAATAAAGTTGAAGAATCATCTTTAAACTACATCATGATGATTAAGAAATGTGCTTCTGAACCACAGTTCCTGTTCATTTTAAACTCTACAATAAATAAAAATCACCATGAAACACGATTGTGAGATAAAGGGGAGAGGCGATTAGGGGAGAAGCGATGCAAAAGGAACCGGGAAGCCATTACACCATTCTGCCTTGAAGTGTCACCATTAACAACATTTGTGAGATAGATGAGAGTGGTGACCACAGCGGTGGTGCAAAAGGCCCTCTTTTCTTGAAAACTATATTTCGAAATACCCGTTTTCATTTATTAGGTTGAGTCACAAATAATTTCCTTTTTTTTGTTTATCTACTTTATTCATACAAAATAATGTACACTCGCATTTTATTCATTTACGTATTCACTATTATTTGCCAATTATCAGGCAGCACTTTGATACATTCTGAAAATTCCGCAAGTTTTTACATGAAAACGTTTCGATGAACCCTTAGATTTGGTTTTCCTCAGAGAAAGTTTTCCCCATCAAAGCGTTTTGCAACGATCGAAAAAAAAATAATCGATTGCTTTGAAGTCAGGTGAATGTAAGGGCTGGAGTAGAACAGAATAACTGAGTCCCCAAATGTGTTTCCTGTGTTATTCATACTGTATTTTTTAATTGACAAGCGCTGGAAGATTTTCGACCTTTTATTGACACGTTGCAGCTGCTGGAAGTATAAATGTGCATTTAGTGGTTCGAAATCTAAATGAATAATACTCCGATGATCCAACTATAAGCACAACATTATGATGAAGCGAGGATTCTGTGCTCGGTTGTGTAAATTAATCCTGATCAATCCACTGCTTTCTTCATTGAACATTGTTGTATGCAACCCACTTTTCATCACCTGGTATGATATAGTTAAGGAACGGTTAGTTAGAATGACGCATTCATCTTCACAATTGTGAATTCACAATTGTGAAGATGAATGTGTTCCCAAAATCATAAATTAGCTAAAACTCAACGTAATAGATTTGAAGACGAAAGGCGTCGGTGTTAACTACGCAACTACCTCAGCTAGCAAACTTACATTAATAATATGTGATAGATAGGTAGGTAGATAGATAGGTATAGCCTCCATGATTGTTTGCTTTCTTTGCCTTTGCTTGCTTCTAATTCGCTCTAAGCAAAATTTATGACATCCTGTAGGAACCCGATACTGCGTCCGTCGAAGAAGAAGAGCCCTGCCGAGCGATGGAGTCGAATCAAAAGATATTTGGCAATGCCAACGCAAATCAGGAAGCGGCTGAAGCCTCTGACAGGAAGCTGCTCTGTTCTCCCTGTCCGGATCCAGACCATACCGAACGTCCCCACTTTGCTTCCAGCACGAGCAAACGGCCGACCCCGGGATGGAGCACCAATCAAAACGATGCCAATTTAAACCTGATGCCAAAAACGAAGAGAGGCAAAAATGCCCCCAAGGGAGAATTCAAAGTTAGTAAGTAACGTTCGTTGTAGAATCATTTCTCGCTTCCCGAAAAATATAATAATTTCTGAAAGGTTTCGGTAAATCCTCTTTACATCGAATTCGGAATCTCTTATTATTCTGTTTTATTGATTGATTCATCGATTGATTGATTTTTTTTTATGTGTCTTGTCTTTTATATTGTGCTCATGGTAAATGGAAAAAGTCCGCCGATGAAAGAGAAATAAAAATGATGAAGACTTCTGTACAAAACTGATTTTAAATGAGATTTATTTCAAAAGTAAATAGAAAGGGAGTCAGCTAGCGAGGGGAGAACTGATAGATAGATATGAATAGAATAAGATTAATAGATAGATAGATACGAATAGATATATAGATAGATATGAATTGAGATAGAGAGATATAAACAGAGGTCTGTCCATATTTCTATCTATCTCTCTCGCTATATATATGTGTGTGTGTGCGCGTGTGTGTGTGTATGTGTATATATACATGTGTGTGTGTGTATATATATATATATAGAGAGAGAGAGAGAGGGGAGATGAACTGAGATAGATATAAACAAAGAAATCTCTCTCTCCATATATATATATATATATATATATATATATATATATATATATATAGAGAGAGAGAGAGAGAGAGAGAGAGAGAGAACGCCCATAGATATTCATTATGCCCTCCGAAAAGACAGGTAAACTATTGAAGACGCCAAGTGACACAATTCAATGTCTAATAAACTAAAGTGAGTAAAGGACGTTCTTGAATTTTTCTTTTAATGCAAATCATTATTTAAATTATTTTACTTTGTGATTAATTTATATTGATTATATATTTTTTAATAATATGAGGTTAGGAATTTAACCGTTATCTTTCAATTTTTACCATTTTTATAGACACGTATGTTGGCTTGTGAAAATAGTAATTCTTTCAGTAATGGAAATATTTGAAAAAAAAAAAATCCGTGTCGCAGATTTACATTTTGATAAGATTCGATAGCGTCACTTTCGAGAACTTTCCTTCTAAGTAAGTTATTTTCTCTTTCAATAAATGTGGCATTGTTTAGATCAAAGTTAGGCTTAAATTTATTGCTATGTATAACTAATATATTCATGAGTGTTCTTAAATTTTAAAAAAATTGACTCTACATATGTTTACTACGTTACTTAAAAATCGAAAACTGAATTGAACTTTGAAGTCAACACCCAGAATTGACAGAGTCTGTTCCATGCTAAACGCAACTATTACGCTGTGTGCGTTGTTTTTTTGCTCGACTATTTATATACACAGGTCAATGATGCATTGTGAGTAGTCTATTGTATTGCATTGTGGGTAGTTAGTTAACCCTAACCCTTCCTTTTTGAGTAACATATTTTCAAATGGGTCCGATTCTAAGAATTCTAAAAATACGCATGCTAATACACTGATAAGAAGAGAAGCCATTGGCAAATCAGATTTTTGTTTGTAAAAATTATTGGGTTGGTGCATAATTGTCAGGCGTTTTTTAAACAATATTTATTATGAAAAAAAGAAACATAATTCAACAATAACATTTTTAAACGATTATTCCGGAGAGTAGTTAAAATCTTTTTCATTTTTATAATCTGAAAATAAAAAACTAAAACGCCTGATAATTATGCCCTAACCTAATAAAAGAGAAGGAGGTTGAAAAAGAAGAAGATGAAGAAGAAGAAGGAGGAGGAGGAGGAGGAGGAAGGAGAAAAGAAGAAGAAGATCATTGAGAGAAGGAGTAATGGAACAAAACTGCAAAAGGACAGAAAATAAAGGAAATGCAGCATGAATTAGCGGATAAAGAAAAAAGGAACAGGCGAAGAAAAAAGAAGAGAAGGAAACAGAAAAAGGGAGGAGGAGGATAAGGAAGAGATGGAGGAGGAGGAGGAGGAGGAAGGGAGTGGAGAAAGAAAGCAGAAAAGACGGAAGATATACTAGTTGACGAATGAGATCAGAAGATAATGATAAAAAATGTCGCTGAGTATTTATAGTCCGGAGAGCGTCCCCTAGTTGCAGTTTCGAACATTCAGCAGGAGCTAACCGACAATGTTAAGAAAAAAGGAAGAAAGAAATCGTGTTTGGAAGAAAATAGAGACGGAAAAGTGAAAACCAGTGAAATGTCTGGTGAAATAAAAAGAAGGAAATCATTTTAAATAAGCCGGAGCAGGTAAATAATTAAAAGAAAGAGGAGGAAATAAAAGAGAAAGAAAAGAAATAAAAGGAGGCTGAAGAGAAGAATAAAAAGGAAGAGGAAAAGAAGAAGAGAGAAGAAGAAAAAGGAGAAGAAGAAAAAGGAGAAGAAAACGAAGGAAGAGAAAATAAAATTAAGTGGAAAAAAGAGGGGGAGAAGAAAAGAAAAAGTGCAGGAGGAAAATACAAGAATAAGAAAGAAAGAAAGATACAAAGAAGAAGGAAAAAAAGGCTAATGTCAAGAAAGGTAAAAAGTGAGAAAAGTAAAAGTAGAAAGACAACTGATTGCGTTGGTGCATAATTATCAGGCGTTTTTCAAACAATATTTTATTATGAAAAAAGAAGCATAACAATTCAACAATAACATTTTGAAATGATTATACCGGAGCATAGTCACCATCTTCTTCATTTTTATAACCTGTAAAGAAAATAATATTTTTATTAAAAAAGCAAACAAAACATCAATTTTTACTAACAAATAACTGGCCTACAAAAACGCCTGATAATTATGCACCAATCCAATATTACTGATTCAGCCTCTTCACTCACCGGCTGCTATACCCAACGACCTTTCACGGGTATCTGTTATATTCTGTAACTAGCTAGGAATATTGAATTTGAACAAGGCATTTACAGTTCGGGTCTTTCTGAAGGAATTTCACAACTTATAACCATCATTTCTTCTTTATAATATTAATCTGCCTTTTCACTGAGCTGGTTTTCGTCACTACTATAAAGAAACACGCACCCAAAGAAGGCCGAAGATGTGTAGCGGTTCAAGACAAGAAAGATGACAAAAAATAAAGATTTAATTCTGTTGGGTAAACTGATTTTTTTAAATGTCGCAGATCTCACCCTCTCTTTCTGTCATGCCTCTTCAGTACATGTTCAATAATAGCTCTCCACAGCTTCCTTTTTTTATTTCAGCAATACATCGTTTTCAATGCCTCTTAGTTTTTATTTTAATTATTCCGTCATGCATTTGGTCAAGTTGGTTACTGTCTATTTACCTTTACTTCTCTTGGCTTCAATATGCGTTGTGAGTGTTAAATTCTCCAAGCATTTTACTCATTCTTTCTATCTCGCCTTGTGCTTTTTCTCTTAGGGACGGGGAATACACGGTCCTCCACAGCTTCCTGTCTTTTGTTGCTTTCAGTAAGATTTGTTTCTTTATGATCTTTGTGTCATTTTTTCATCCATTTATTTATCCAAACTCGTCAAGTACGTTGCTATACTATTTCCTTTTGCTTCTCTTGTCTTTAGTGTACCTTGTGTGTGTTAAATTCTCTAGACCTTCTTTATAATAGACATCGTAGATCGATAGGAAACTGATTTGTTTGGAAAAGGATGCGTAGTAGATTCTTTTTGACATTTTATTACCAAATAATTAAAAATAATTTCCTTGCATAAATTTACCAATGATATTGCATTTTTTAATTTATTTTATTTTAATTTATTTATGAATTTATTATATTTTAATTTATTTATGAATTTAATTTATTTTATTTTAATTTATTTATGAATTTACTTTATTTTATTTTAAATTATCTTATTTCTATTTATTTAGAATTTAATTTATTTAGAATTAAATTCATTTCATTTTTTATTTATTTATGAATTTAATTTATCTTATTTTAATTTTAATCTATTTATGAATTTAATTTATTTTTTTTTTTTTATTTTTTATGAATTTATTTTATTTTATTTTTAATTTATTTCATTTTAATTTATTCATGAATTTAATTCATTTTAATTTATTTATGAATTTAATTTATTTTTTATTTTTTATTTTAATTTGTTTATGAATTTATTTTATTTTTATTTTAATTTATTTTATTTTAATTTATTTATGAATTTAATTTATTTTAATTTATTTATGAATTTAATTTATTTTATCTTATTTTAATTTATTTATTAATTTAATTTGTTTTAATTTATTTAGGCCGTGTCGATTATACGAGCGAGCTAAAGAGACTTTATTCCCGAGCAGAGAACACCAAAGTTAAAATGGCTGATATAAAGCGTAAGTGATAAATATTTTACAAGCATACATGAACGTACTCATGTGCACATACACACACGAACGTTGAGCTATAAGCCCGCAACCCGACACTGAATATTAGCTGAATTTTTATCGGACATATTCAGTGTAAACTATTTTTAACTTGTGGATCTATACAGAAAAAATGTATTAATTACATTGACAAGGAAGATGATTATCTTGAAAAGTAATTATTTATCTGTCAGCATTTCTGAGATGATGAATTATAATTATTTAAATTATTTACATGGTCCGGACCGTTGCCCTCATCTTTATTGCCACGTTCACGACCTTTCGACCGTTGTACGCTTCGGCCTTCTTCAGGATCTGTCTATATTTCTAAAATGATGTATTGTAATTATTTACACTATTTACATTGTTCGGTCTGTTGGCCTTATCTACGTTGCCATATTCACGACGAGCTTACAACGGTCGAAACGTCGTGAACGTGGCAATAAAGATGAGGGCAACGACCCGAACAATATAAATAATCTGAATAATGTTAATAAGTAATTATTTGTATAAAATTGCTTTTTTTCAGTAACCATTAGTCTACGAGCATATATATATATATATATATATATATGTTCTTTTTATAGATACAAATATTTCAGTAAATGCTCTGTTTTATAATAAACAGTATTAAACAACATTTACAGGCCTGAATGTCCGAGAAATTTTCATAGAAAATATTAGTCCTCCGACAGGAATCGAAAATGTATCGTATACGGAACCGTCATATAGCCTGACGTGCCTTTAACAATTGGGATACAGAGGAGCGTCGTTTTTACTGTTTTTAAACTACAATTCTCCATGATTTTTTCTCATACATTCATATCTGCTCAATGTTTTTTTTATGTTTATACGTTCTTTTTATAAATAAATGTTGTTTAATACTGTTTATTATAAACAGAGCATTTACTTAAATATTTGTATCTATAAAAAGAATGGATATACATAAAAATGTCATAAAAAATAATTGTCCGACTTTGTCCATTTCATAATATATATATATATATATATATATATATATATATATATATATATATATTTGAATTTGAATGAAAACTAACATTTTTAGGCATTTAAAACAACATTCCTGCCCGCACACACAATTCCATAAAATACTTGTCGAAAACACAATTATACTTCGATATGAAAACAATAGACAAAAACTAAAAATCCTTGAAGCATTATACATCAAACAGTTTAAACCCAACCTAAACAAAATCAATTATGGCATCTCTACAAATATTTTTAAATGTCTATAATTGGTAACAGAAGCCATTGGTTTATACCAACGGCTTTCCATACTTCATACTTCTCCAATTCACTCTCGTGTGGTTATGTGTGACGTCATGAGATGCGGTGCGATTTTCGCTTCTAGCGTCTTATATGCATGTGTTTAATGTTGCTTAGAAATCATCTATGTAAACATTGACAGACTATCATCACTGTCTTGTCCGTATATTGCTTAATATGTTGTAACTGACATCTTTGATAATGGCTTATGTAAGCCGAAAGCTTAGATTGTATTAAAAAAAAAATATGGATCAATATTGTGAATTTCTTTCTTCGTTACGAAAAAAATTTACATAAAATAAATAGACAACACTTGTCTATATTATTTAATGAAACGTGTATGAATGAAAAGATGCTGCCTAAATACACACAATATACATACATATATATATATATATATATATATATATATATATGAAGAAATATAGTCTTAAGTTGTGCTATATTTATGGGATAAAGTGCTCAATATCAGAGATAGAGCGTGTGTAAATATAAAAGTGAACATAGAAGTCAACACTTAGAGGCGACAGTCTGTTTCATGCTAGATGCAATCATCAGGCCTGACGACTGCATATAGCATAAAACCGACTGTCGCCTCTAAGTGTTAACGTCTATGTTCACTTTTATATATATATATATATATATATGTTAAAAATACTAGTTTTTAATGTCGGATATTTTCTATTAGATGTGTAATAATTATCAATATTTGGTGTGATATGTTATTTAACTAATCTTAACGAATTTATATATCATAACGCTTCGGTAATTGTATACGACAGCCTTCTTCATATGTTCGTCGTTGTAATATTGCGTGGTTGATTATGTATTAAGGGAAATTTTGTGGAATAGAGTCATGATAATAGATAAATAAAAACAATAGGAGATAAGATGACTGAAAGAATCAGTGCCTATGTTATGCCCTAACACCCTCGCCAGTAGACCTAGCATTGATATAATTACTGTTTGGAAACTTTTGATTGAGAGAGAAACGATATTCAAACAATTTCCATCACGTGGGTACAGACCTTACGGTTCAGGTTCCAAAATTACAGCAGGAAACCTTTCAAAAAACATAGATCCCAGTGGAATGGTTTCCTGATAGTTGTGAGGTTCAATTCATAATTGAGTGGAGGAAACACACACGTGATAAAACGCGAATAGAATAGAGAATATTCCTGTGGACGAGATATTCCCTAAGAATGGAAATGTAATGAGAACAATCTGCTCCATCCCTGCGGGTTAAATAAATTCCAGTGAGATTATTACGTACAATGATAGCAACTGAGAAAGGTCGGAGAATGCAACGACCTATAACAATGAGCATAGTAACCAAGATGAGCATGCTGGTCCAAATCGAAAGGCATATAATAATTATAATTGTTCATTCTCAAAATTGTGTAAAGGTTCATAACTATATCACCCTATAGAAATTCGAAGCATTTTAAAGTTCATGCCTTTTAAAATATATTAGCAAGAGGTTAAACAAATTATTGATTTACGTTTTTTGCTTGCAGACGATAAATCAAAAACCAAAGAAAGAAAAACAGTGAAAGGTGAGTAAAACATTGAAGTTATCTATCTATCTATCTATCTATCTATCTATCTATCTATCTATCTATCTATCTATCTCAGTATAGTCATATCTATCTATCTATCTATCTATCTATCTATCTATCTATCTGTCTGACAGTCTGTTCATGATCTATCTATCTATCTATCTATCTATCTATCTATCTATCTATCTATCTATCTCAGTCTGTTCATATCTATCTATCTATCTTTCTCAGTCTATTCATATCTATCATTAGGTAAAGAGTTATCGCTTCATTTTTGCCATTTTGGCTGGGATCAAAGCGTAGTATCTGTTTGCACTAAGAGGTGTGTCCTGAGTTCATATGCTTATGCATTTGTATAGACACCCTACGTAAAAAAACAAAACCGTCTACATTCTGCCTATGTTTGGAGGCCACGTAAATAGTATCTATCTATCTATCTATCTATCTATGGGAAACATTTTTTCTTTTATTCATGTTTCATTGAATGTGGCAGACAAAGACATTTTTATAATTTTTTTATTCACTTTTTTAATCTTCTTGCAGTTTTTCTTTTATGAGCAGTAAGAGAGTGTAGAAATTGTCCCAAACGCCTTCGGCCAGTTCATTCGACATTTTTTAAAGGATCCTTGTTAGTATATTTCCTGTGTTTAACTGCTAAGTTGTAATGTGCGGAAGTAGTAGTAATTCTAAGCTGTGCTGAATGGGAAGTAGTAACAATTTCATGTTGGCATATCTTTAAAGACTGCCAACAAGTTTTGGAATAGGGTAATCCTGAGACTTGGCTTAAACCGTTTTCTATAAAGTGCTTCAATTATATTCGGACGACTTTTACGATTAGATATTCTTAACATGACTGTGTTATCTACAGGGGTTTTTCTTATGAGACCAGGTAGTTGTGGATGAGCGTTTAAGTGCTTCCTTAGAGAACTCAGACCGCTTATGTAGTTTGTGGTATAAGAATTCATTATATATATATATATATATATATATATATATATATATATATATATATATCTTTTCCCCTTTTTCTCCTTTTCCTTTTCCCATATCATTTCCGTTGAGCTGACCGTTTAAATAGGTCAATGTCTTATCCTTACCCCCTCCTTCCTCAATATTAAGTTTTATAATAAAAAGAAATATAAAAAGAAATTTTAAAACTCTCCTTCCTCTCTAAACTCGACCATGTCTCTCATACCATTCCTTACCACTCTCTATGTTAACTTATTAACTTACTTAGCTTAATACTGCCCGTCAAAAGTGTAAATTTTAATTTCATTTTTCGTTTCACCTTTTGAAAGTGAAGTCTGAGGATCCAGAGAAGGATAAAATTCTCTGGTGAAATAAATTATTACAAATGGAGATTAAAGTGGTCTGTTTTTCGTTTATCTTTAAATTTATATATATATATATATATATATATATATATATATATATATATATATATATATATATATATACTACAATTGAAAAAATAGAAATAAATCTACTTTTAAAATCTACCACAACTCTAACTATAGAAGTTACCTATTAGAATGCAAACTATGCCAGAAACAATCTGAATGGCTCTTTCACTACAGAATTAATAATTATCGGAATCAGATCAAATCGGCTCCCCACGAAAGATTGTTACCTGTAGAATAACATTTCTGCCTAGAAAAACATGATCTATAATTGAAAAAATAGAAATAGAAAAAATAAGCTTACAAAAATACTAGAGGAACATGAAGACAAATGGATTTGCGCCTCACAACACTTCATCCAGACGGGCTTAACCACAAATTTAACAACATAGATAGAATTAATATATAACCCAATAAATCAAGCTTTACCTATAGTTCTCACTCGCACACGAAAGATATGCTTGCAGAGGTGTTTCAGGTCTCACACTTATACACACACTCATACAAATATATACACATACACACATCAAACAGACTCCCAAAGAACTAACAGATAGCATACACTTAAGACACACATCCCATTCCCAGCAACCAATAAAACTGTCAAAATGACCAAGGAAGGAATTCTGTAAATGAGAAATCTTCCATCCTCTATCTTAAAACCAACTTGAAAGAGGCTCTTTGACCAACACAAGGACTGAACAAAATTAACGATAAAAACAAATGAAAACTACAGATAAAGTTCACTTTCTTCAAAAACATTCATTCACTCCTGTGGTCCACTGCTACGAACAAGCAGGGACTTTTTCTCCTGATGATGGCCATGTTGGCCGAAACTAGTCGAGGAACGTAATTGAAATAATAAAACAAAAAATATTACTATTAGTGTCTGAAAATTTTACTTTTTAAATTATTTTTTAATATTTTTATTGTTCAAAACACACACACACACACACACACATATATATACATTGTATATGCAATCTCTAAAGAATAAATGAATTTATTTTAATTCTACATTTTTATTACTTCAAATGTTATTTTTTATTGGGTTCCCGTGTTTGAGTCGTGAGGTGTATATTACAGAATGTGCAATGAAGACAATTTAATAAAGAAAGTGTGCTCTTCGCCAGGGTTTGAACATGCGCCTCCTTTTCTAGGAGAAAACACCGTCACAGTACAGCAAATTTCTATTTAGGCTTTTAAGGAATGCATATCCCCTCGTTCAAACATTGGACCCTTTTGAAGAGTACATATTCTTTTAAGTTTTCTCGAGTTCTCGAGCCGGTAAACGTAATACACATTTTGTAAAAAAACAAAATAATAATAAAAAAAAGACGAGGTGTCTACTGTAGCACGATTAATTAAAATGAATCCATTAATTCTTTAGAAATTGCTTTGTTTACGTTTCGGATACGAATTCAAGCAGATATGGGCCTTTGAGAAAACCTTAATGACAAGGTGTGCATTCCTTAAAAGGATAAAGGCTCTTTGGAATTCAAAGAACCTTTTAAACCAGAAATCCGATGTTTTAAGTTCTTGCTTACATATTAGAACATTTTTCGTAAGCACATATGAGGCTGGATAAAAAAAAGCGATGTACATTTTAATTATTCTCCCCCACACCGATACATTTACAATACACTTTCTTCTTCTTCTTCTTCTTCTTCTTCTTCTTCTTCTTCTTCTTCTTCTTCTTCTTCTTCTTCTTTTCCTTTCTATTACACCCAAACTCGTGTGTTTGTTTGTTTATTTTTGAAAATAATAATGTAACATTAATTAGTTTAAAAAAATAAAGCGTTAAGAGGTCATTTGATAAAAACCGCCTGAGGAGACCGTAAAGTTGAAACCAAGGTAGCGGATTTAACTGACCTCCTGATTTTTAAAGTATATGGCCTTGAAAATGACGGAACCCATTCTTTTAAAAGGCGAAACTAAAAAAAGTCGACACGGTGGGTAATTAAGGTGCCACATGTAAAATAAATTTATTAAAAAACTCAAACAAATCAGTGTAAATAAGCCTTGAGTGAGTATAAAACACGAGAAGAAATTACATGAAAAGAATTACTAACAACACACCCGTGAGACAGACAGAACGAAGAAAGTTCATTTTCTTCCTGAACAAAGTCGATGAAGCTTGATGTAAACAGCCTTTAAAAATCGTAAATGTTTAACCGATCGAGTCCTGTGCAGCATCCTAAACATTCCATCAACATATTCAGAATCGCAACCCGGGTAATCAATTAAATGAAGCCCAATCGCTGACTCACAAACTGACTGACTCAGGTGATTAATGTTAATCACTACACCCTATCTTATAGGCAGGCAAATGTTGAACAATTCGGGTCTCCAACCGCCAGTTGGTTCGATCTACATAGTCGGCCTCGCATCAACATTTAAATTGATATATCACAGAGCTACTTTGCAGGTAGGGCAAACCATCCTTAGCGATAAATTGGAACAGTACTAAATACAACACACAATTTAAGAAAAGGAAAGCAAGAAATCACACACGCCGATACCCTATCAGCAAGTGTCTGACTCTCCCTGTCCAACCATAGTAGTTGTAAATAGACGGGACAGAGACTAGGTCCCCAAAAATTTACGGTCTCCTCAGGCGATTTTTATCAAATGGCCTCTTAACGCTTTATTTAAATAGGCAAAACAAAAACTAATGAACGCTATATTATTCTTATCCTGAATTTTAAAGTATATATATATCTTACCCTCTTGGAAAATATATATATATATATATATATATATATATATATATATATATATATATATTGGCCACTGATATTATCTATCTATCTATCTATCTTCGTATGTGTATATATATATATATGCATGCAAAATACAAAATTTACCGTAACATAAAAATACGTATCTGTTATGTTGATGCCTTTCATGTGCGTTGCCTACGTTCGATCTGCAAGATAAAAAATGGGTGATTGCAGAAGAAACAGTGAAGTGCTGACTAAATAAAACATGGCGGATATTGATGCAAAATTCCAATCAAGTGACAAGGACATCTTTCTCGTTTGAGCGATAGCAGACTCCCAAGACAACTTCTCTTTGTCAAGGCAGTTGGAAGGACACTCTTGCGTTAGAAAGACAACCTGAAGCGATGAACAATTCCATTTTCTTTTGAGGAAACCAAAGCGTCAGAACGAAAGAGCTGGGCGCCGGTCCTGCTTCTCATTTGAGCGAGGCCGGCTTGAATATTGGGATCAATTGCGTGCAAATATTAAAGATGGCAGCATACTGTTCCTCTCAATGATAGCCTTACCTGCCACTGTGACTTTGTCGCACGCAGTAAAGCAGGCCTTGATATCCACTTGCAGAAACATGTGCTAATTGATCCTCGACCACTCAAGCAAAATGGCTCAACCATCTGTCTAAAAGTTTGCAAAACACCTACAGGCCCTGGGATATATATGCGTGTCCATAAGATTTGGCCAACTCTTATTTTACAGCCGGTAGCTGTATTTTGGTAATTAAATTCAAAGCATTTTAAAGTTCATGCCTTTTAAAATATATTAGCAAGAGGTTAAAGAAATAATTGATTTACGTTTTTTGCTTGCAGACGATAAATCAAAAACAAAAGAAAGAAAAACAGTGAAAGGTGAGTAAAACATTGAAGTTATCTATCTATCTATCTATCTATCTATCTATCTATCTATCTATCTATCTATCTACCTATCTATCTATCTATCTCAGTATAGTCATATCTATCTATCTATCTATCTATCTATCTATCTATCTATCTATCTATCTATCTGTTCATGATCTATCTCATAATCTGTCTGTTCGTATCTATCTATCTATCTATCTATCTATCTATCTATCTATCTATCTATCTATCTATCTATCTCAGCCTGTTCTAAAAAAAACGCCACGCCGTTTTCTAAATTCTAGTTGATAAGGACATTTTCTTTGTTGCTAATACTTAATTTGTTTTCAGTAAATTCATATATATATATATATATATATATATATATATATATATATATATATATATATGTTGATGAATATTTGGGCAGTAACCTTCCTTTTAAACTTGTTTTGTTGAATATGACAAAGAAAATCTTTATTTTTCCGTTTGGTAAGAGCAAAGGAGTCTAAAATGTCCATTGTCCGTATTTTCCATTGTCCTAAGTGCTTTCGGTCACTTTTTGATCGATTTTTAAGGGGGTCTCTTTTTGTTTCTCTTCATGTTCGACTGGATGGTATCCTAAACCTTCGGAATAAACGCTCCCACCAGTATTCTTACTCGAAGCAGCGTTTATTTCGAGTCTCACGGCTGGAATTCAAGTGAGCGTCTTTCCATTGTTTTTAAATAATTGTCAAAAGTTTGAATTCAGGTCATTATTTAAAGATGTAAGAGGCTATAATTGAAAAGATTGAAAATCGAGAAATTTTTCTATTTCCCAAGAAGCAGGCGTTAAACACACGAGAGAGTTATCGTCTTCTCTATCTTAACTTTCTTTCTTTTTCCCGCCGAAACCGAATAACGTTTCTGAAATATCTTTCCCACCTTTCCTTGGAATCAAAACGGAATAGTCCATTATTTATTAGGTACTGGCAGGACGGAACGTACGCGCCACCTAACTAATTAAAGAATGAAGGAACAAGCAGAATAATGCGATGGCACTGAAAAGAAACACGTTAGCTACAAGTGACGTAAACGCATAAGCATTGCATAACTCTTACACATACACACATACATATATATATATATATATATATATATATATATATATATATATATATATATATATATATATATATACATATTTGAAATCTTTTTCACTCAACATTTTTTGCCTTTACAGCTCGCTTGTCACATGTCATTAATTTTCAGTGTAGTGAAGCTGGACAGTAACACAGTCTGTTAACAACTCCATCTTTTTGACCGCCACAATGAATCAATTTACAAGTTGCATCAAAATCAGAAATAACATTAAAGAATTCTTCAATTGCCTGTTTGGCTTTCTATTTCATTTCAGTTTTTATTTGCTTTAAAAGAGCAATATCTTCTTTTCACATATTATTCTATATTCTGTTTCTTTCTTTCTTTCTTGAACTGTTTCTTCTATGCTTTCTTTCTTTCTTTCTTTCTTGAACTGTTTCTTCTATGCTTTCTTTCTTTCTTTATCTGTTACTTTCTTTCTTTCTTTATCTGTTTCTTCTATGCTTTCTTTCTTTCTTTATCTGTTTCTTCTATGCTTTCTTTCTGTCTTTCTTTCTTGAACTGTTTCTTCTATGCTTTCTTTCTTTCTTTATCTGTTTCTTTCTTTCTTTCTTTATCTGTTTCTTCTATGCTTTCTTTCTTTCTTTCTTTCTTGAACTGTTTCTTCTATGCTTTCTTTCTTTCTTTATCTGTTTCTTTCTTTCTTTATCTGTTTCTTCTATGCTTTCTTTCTTTCTTTCTTTCTTGAACTGTTTCTTCTATGCTTTCTTTCTTTCTTTATCTGTTTCTTTCTTTCTTTCTTTATCTGTTTCTTCTATGCTTTCTTTCTTTATCTGTTTCTTCTATGCTTTCTTTCTTTCTTTATCTGTTTCTTTCTTTCTTTCTTTATCTGTTTCTTCTATGCTTTCTTTCTTTATCTGTTTCTTCTATGCTTTCTTTCTTTCTTTATCTCTTTCTTCTATGCTTTCTTTCTTTCTTTCTTTCTTTTTTCTTTCTTTCTTTCTTTCTTTCTTTCTTTATCTGTTTTATTCTTTCTTTCTTTCTTAATTTGTTTCTTCTATGCTTTCTTCTTTCTTTCGTTCTATTTTTCTTTCTTTCTTTCTTTATCTCTTTCTTCTATGCTTTCTTTATTTATTTATCTGTTTCTTTCTTTCTTAATTTGTTTCTTCCATGCTTTCTTTCTTTCTTTCTTTATTTCTTTTTTCTTTCTTTCTTTCTTTCTTTCTTTCTTTCTTTCTTTCTTTCTTTCTTTCTTTCTTTCTTTCTTTATCTGTTTCTTCTATCTTTCTTTCTTTTTTCTTTATCTGTTCCTTTCTTTCTCCCTTAATTTGTTTCTTCTATGCTTTCTTTCTTTCTTTCTTTCTTTCTTTCTTTCTTTCTTTCTTTCTTTCTTTCTTGAACTGTTTCTTCTATGCTTTCTTTCTTTCTTTATCTGTTCCTTTCTTTCTCCCTTAATTTGTTTCTTCCAGGCTTTCTTTCTTTCTTTCTTTCTTTCTTTCTTTCTTTCTTTCTTTCTTTCTTTCTTTCTGGAACTGTTTCTTCTATGCTTTCTTTCTTTATCTGTTTCTTTCTTTCTTAATTTGTTTCTTCTATGACTTCTTTTTTTCTTTCTCTATTCGTTTCTTCTATGCTTTCTTTCTTTCTTTCTTAATCTGTTACTTCTATGCTTTCATTCATTCATTCATTCTTTCCTTCTTTCCTTCTTTCTTTCTTTCTTTCTTTCTTTCTTTCTTAATCTGTTTCTTCTATTCTTTCTTTCTTTTTCTGTTGCTTTGTTTCTTTGTTTCTTTTCTTTTGTTTATTCCTTTTACTATATTTCTTCTTTCCTTCTTTATTTTTACAATTTTATTTGGTTTTGGCGTTTCTTTCTTTCTTTCTTTCTTTCTTATTTAGTGTTTCTTCAGTATCATCTATTTTCTTTCTTTAAAAATGTAGTATATTTTTTCTTTTTATTTCTTTCTCATTTGATTATTCTTTCTTTCTTTCTTTCTTTCTTTCTTTCTTTCTTTCTTTCTTTCTTTCTTTCTTTTCCTTTGTTTGTTTGTTTCTTTCTTTCGCCCTTCATCTGCTCTTATTCCCCAAACTTATACACCCTCCAAACTACTTCCCTCTTCCCTTTCGGTTCATTTTCCAGTGGGACCTTCCATTCTAAGACAACATGGCTTTATTAAAAATTGGCAGGAATGTCAGATAATTGGTCGGTTGCTAAAATACTGTCATTTTACAAATGGCAAGAAGACGCAGCTGATGGCGAACGAAAGTCAGTGATAAACGAGATTTTCATCCAGATATAAATTATGCGAAACGTTCATTTTTAAAATATATTTTTTCTTTCTCACCTTAAAATTTTTGTTCATAATTTCCTTTCTTTGGTTTATTCATTTTTTCCCAACCCAGTTTAGTTTTTTTCGGAAGTCATTAAAAGTATGAAGAATCCCGAAAGCAACGTCAATACTTATGGCGACGATGATGATATGGTTGATAAATTTATTTTAATTAAATTAAATCGATTTTAAATCAAAAGTCATCGAAAAACTCTGTGGGGAATATAATAAATATTTTATTTCCCAAGTTTTCTTGTCTGAAAATACATAAATAAATTATCTTCCAAACGCATCGAAATAGTCATTCCTCTCGGCGGGTTTCGGATAATAATTCGCATATCCGTTCAAATCTTGTCTGCTTTCATATTAATCTTAAATATAAGACAACGAAGTTATAATCCAATTGAAATATAGAATTTATGGATTGTGACATTGATTTACCGAGAGAAAAAAAAGATACAGGGTAATCCGGATATAAGAGAGTTGTCGGGACCGGAGAAGAAGTCTCTTATATCCGGGTTTCTCTTATATCCGGGTTTGGTCTATTTTATATACATTAACACAGGCTCTAATTTGGGACCAGAGAAAATCTCTTATATCCGGGTTTCTCTTATATCCGGGTTTCTCTTATATCCCGGTCTCTTATATCCGGGTTACACTGTATTACATGAAACATTATTTCTGGACCTTTTTGGTGGTGTTGGAATGTCGTTTAATCTTTTTTGCCAGTGACCAATGTTCGCGTTTCGATAAGAACCAAGAAAATAAATGTCAACACAGACAGAATATATCCACTTGAGAACTTTAAGCTATAGAAGACTTTTGAAATTTATCATTCAGTACAATTGTGTACTTGCAAAATCTGAGATGAATAAAATTATGCGGTATCCATTCTTGAGTTTACACGAGACAAAATGGCGTCGAATTTGTTTCCGCGGATGCAGAAGTTAGTTTTTCAATCTTGACGATTGCTGTGTTTTAAATGTCATTAGATTATAATTAGATTATATCACTTTACCTGCCATAACGCCTACTATTTGTCTTTGCATTCAGGGATATGAAATCAAGGGCATAAATCGTGTCTTTCTTATTTTTGAACGGTGATGTAGTAGCGATAACCACAAGAGGTTTCTTCCTTTCCGAGAGAACACTTTCCAGGCAGGCGACTACTAAATTTCAACTCATCTACGTAACACACAAGCACAAACATATACACACAGATAAAAGCGAACAGATGCATATATATAAATAGATATGAACTGATTGAATAGACAGATTGAATTAGATAATCATCGCAGAGGACCTTTTCTGTCTGAATGCTAACCTTCAGTAGAGCATCATTCCAAGCTTCCTTGGCTTAACATTTTCCGCTGACATGAAGAGGGTCGACTATATATCGAATCAATTGCTACGTCTACTGCTAGGAAAGTTGGTTCACTATGTGGTGCCAGGAATTTATCTCGTCAGAATTCAACTTGCAAATTTTATAAATCTGCCATTCGTCCGTGCATTGAATACTGTTGCCAGATCCAGTGTAATGCAACTGCTGTGCATCTCAAGATTCTTGACAAAATCCAAAGAAGGATCAGCAATGTAATCGATCCTGACCAGGCATCTCGACTTTAATCACATTCTCACCGACGTGACGTGGCTTCCCTCTGTCTTTTCTACAAATATTTTCATGGCAATTGTTCTGATTAGTTTTTTTTGTCTTGATGCCCCGATCACATGAATTTAAGCGTGCAAATAGATTGACAACTACGTCTTACCATTTTACTGTTGAACTAAATAGGTGCAACTCTTATCTCTCTGTTTCTTTTTTCGCACTTATCACTTGTGGAACTCCCTTCTGATTTCTTGCTTCCCTGATAACTACAATCTTTAAAAATTTAAATGCAACGTCAATCGACATATTCTGTCATCTTGAACGATGTTCCTTTTTTGTCCTTTCCTCAATCCTGCGGGTTTTCAGTCTTCTCATTCTCTTTCACGCCCTGTAAACCCTCAGGAAATTGTGGAGAGCCATGACCGTCAATGTCCTAAAGGGACACGGCACATAAAATAAAAATTAAGATAAATACAGGAGTATTAAAGAGTGTTATTTTTAATCAATCTCCAACGATCATGAGCAGAACGTAGCAAGTACAAGAAATTCAATAAAAAAAAATAGACATAATCCTTATTAAATCGTTCAATATTTTCCTCCTGAATTATTGTGATTGAAATACATTTATTTTCAATGGCTTTTTGCAAACGATCCTGTCTTAGCATATCGCATTCAGTCACTTTCTCGTCGATGTGACGTGGCTTCCCTCTGTCTTTTCTACAAATATTTTCATGGCAATTGTTCTGAGGAGTTTTTTCCTGGTGCCTCGCCCACATGAATTTAAGCGTGCTAATAGATTGACAACTACGTCTTACCATTTTACTGTTGAACTAAATAGATGCAACTCTTATCTCTTTGTTTCTTTTTTCGCACTTATCACTTGTGGAACTCCCTTCTGATTTCTTGCTTCCCTGATAACCACAAGCTTCAAAATATTAAATGCAACGTTAATTGCCATTTTCTGTCTACTTGAACCTGTTTCTTGATTTGTCCTTTTCTCAATCTTGCCAATTTTCAGTCTTCGCATTGTCTTTCACGCCCAGTAAAACCCCTGCGTTCTATCGGGATTATATAAGCAATAATGATAAAAAATATATAAACAAACTGAGGAAGACAGATATGATGAAAATGATTTATATATGATCTTTTTTCTCTGGTTCTATGACTACATAAATTTAAGCGTTCTACTAGATTGACAACTAGCCTCCACCATTTTACTGTTGAAATAACTAAATGCAACTGCCACTTCTACTATAGCATCTTTTCTAGCACTTTGCACTTGAGCAACTCCCTTCTGATTTCTTGCTTCCCTGATAACTACAAGCTTCAAAAAATTAAATGCAACGTCAATTGCCACTTTCTGTCTTCTTGCACCAGTTTCTTTTTTTTGTCTTTTTTTCAATCCTGCGGATTTTCAGTCTTTGCATTCTCTTTCACGCTGCGTAATGATAAAAATATATAAAAACAGATTGAAGAAGATAGATATGGAAAAAATATATATATATATATATATATATATATATATATATATATATATATATATTGTTTGCACACACGCGCACACACACACACACGCACACACATATGAATGTGTTCATACATAGACACATATAAATGTGGTGTGTGTGTGTTCATGCACACACATACGCATATGTGTGTGTGCGCGCGCGTGCGTATTAACAGATCGGGGAGAGAGATATGAAAAGTCTGAGACACATAGATAAATGTGAACAAACCGTGATAGAAGGATCGATCGATAGATGAATAGGAACATAGATAGATACTGACAGACTGATATATATATATATATATATATATATATATATATATATATATATATATAAATGGTAGTACTCATTTTGAAAAACCTCGGATAGCTCAACTTGCAGTAGAACAAATTGTTACCTGAGGAAAATGGGAAATAAAAAAAAAAAGAAAGAATCAAGAAAATTAAAACAAGACAAAACAATCGTCAAGTGTTTAAACTCCAAGTCCCCCCCAAAAAAAACAAACTCCAAAACAAGTAAAAATACAACGACGTAGATATAATTTTTTTCTGAAGTTATTCATGATCACTTGAAAATAGAACAATAATTTTAACCTTAAGTCCCGAAACATAGAAATTTCCGTGTCACCATGATAAAATATTTAAAAAATATTTAAAAAATATTTTAAATAATAATATAATATTATGCTCTACTTTGTATTGAGCACTTTAAAAAAAATGCTAATGAATTGTGGATTGTTAATACTGCTGTTCTTTTTCTTTTTTTGTATCTCTCTCTCTCACTATATATATATATATATATATATATATATATATATATATATATACTAACACGCATACACATATATATATAATTATTTATAGATAGATAATGAACAGACCGAGATAGAGCGGGAGATAAATACGAACAGACTGCGGTAGATAGACATGCACAGAAATAGATAGATAAATAGATAGATAGATAGATAGATAGATAGATAGATAGATAGATAGGATGTGAATAGACTGAGATCATTAAACACCGCATTAAAACCTTTTGTCTCACTTCTGTCTTTTAATTCATTCTGTTATATTTTTTGCCATTATTTTTCTTTGTGTTTTAGCAAAATCTAAATCTTCGAAGAAAAAGAAATTGTCCAAAAAGCACAAGAGTAAGAACAAATCTACGAGTAAAAGTCTAGATGAAGCCGATGAATCCGAAGACAAGTCTCCCAGCCAATGGGAGCATGAAGATCGGACGCCTGGAATGGATGCATCATTAAACCAAACTATCCAGCATCCTGACCAATCACTGACCGATCGAAATAGAAACATAAAAGAAACAGATGCCATTTCAACATGGATTCAAGACGCGACAGACAAGCTGGCGTCTGATGTCAGCGATAACGAGAAGGGAGATAACTCGGTAAGATTTTATTTTCACGGATCCATCGTGAGGTTATGGAGCAATTTAATTTCTTTAAATTTTTATTGAATTTTCTTATTATTAATTACCAATTGATAACTTTTTATTCAGTCCTCTTTTTTTTTAACCTCCCACCAATGTCTTTACAGGATTCGTGAATATCTTAACTCTGTTAGGAACGCTGCATGTTTTTCTCGACTGAATATTTTGTCTTTGTGGTTCGTCACTTGTGGGATTGCTCATTTAATACGTACCATTCTTTGATTTTATCGATTTAAGTTACAACTTGTGTTTACTGCATGTAAATTGACTCGATTATATATGTAGAAGTAAGCTGGATTGAGGAATCGGAGAGCCGGGTTCGAATTCCAGTCGAATCTATTGGGAAAGGTATGAATCCTCTTCTTCCCCCAGCTATGGGTAAATAGCAGGACAAACATGGTTCTATAGCCTTGGATAGCAACTGGTCTAGGAGAAGGACAACCCTGAATTCAAAACCTGCGGAGGGCCGTTTGGGGACATTGTGGCACGTAGTGCATCAGGTCTCTGTATTCGGCTCTTCAAAAAGTGTAGTTGGCTCTGCACAAAGCCTTCATCACTAAAATCAAATCATATGTGCAGGTGTTTGGGCTGTGAGTTCCTAGGAACTGAGTTGCTTGACCCTCATACGTCGAAAGAACGACGAGAGAGTTCAGTATATAAGTGTTAATTCACAAGTGTTACCAGTTATTACCATGGAATCATCGTAATCACAGCTTCCAAATAATAGTATCGATTATCAGATTAGCCATTAATAGATTTAGTATAGGAATATTGTTGATGGTTATATATTAAAATATCTACTTGTAATATAAGTAATTATTTCTGAAATCGGTATTATGTGTCGATATAACGTTCGCAGGGTCATATATATATATATATATATATTCACCTATGTGCTAATACTGTTGGGAAATGTATGAATCCTCTTCTTCTCCCTCTAGCTATGGGTAAATAGCAGAGTATACTGGGTCCTATAACCTTGGATGGTAACCGGTCTAGGAGAAGGAAAAACTCTGATTTCCAAACCATCCTGGAGAGGGTTGTGCTCCATCAGGTTATCTTGCCCAAGAAACCGCTGTAGTACACATGGTGTTCCTACAAACTTATGGGTCACGGGATATATATATATATATATATATATATATATATATATATATATATGATGGACTCTCCCATCGAGTTTGGTGTATGAGGTTTCGACGACCACGAACTAAATATCTGCATGCCTATGATGGGCATGGCTTTTGAGATCGGCTCGAGAATTGCACAAAAGACCACAAACAGTACAGGAGAATGTATTGTATCCAAGTGCAGCAGGGATCGTCTCGAGAATTGCACAAAAGACCACGAACAGTACAGGAGAATGTATTGTATCCAAGTGCAGCAGGGATCGTCTCGAGAATTGCACAAAAGACCACGAACAGTACAGGAGAATGTATTGTATCCAAGTGCAGCAGGGATCTTCTCGAGAATTGCAATAAAAGACCACGAACAGTACAGGAGAATGTATTGTATCCAAGTGCAGCAGGGATCGTCTCGAGAATTGCACAAAAGACCACGAACAGTACAGGAGAATGTATTGTATCCAAGTGCAGCAGGAACACTGTTACATGTCTTATTTTGCTTTCGTGTTTCACGCAGTCGGCGGATGCTTACTTCTTGATGGTGCATTATTCCTGAATGGCCCCTTGAACGATAATCTGATCTCTTCATAGCTAACTCTTTTAAAGTTCTTGAATGCAATGTTGACGCAAGAAAGGTTACTTTTCAGTTTATCGTTATACTTGAGCTAACGTCTACAAACATTTCTATGACCATTATGGAGTTCACTGTAAAAAAGAACTTTTGGTATGCGATCATTACTCATCCTTGCCAAATGGTCAGCCCAAAGTAGTAGTGATTGCATTATGAAGGTCTCGATGGTTCCAATCTTGTATTTCTCAAAAAGGTCGACATTTGACACTGGATCATCAAACGTTAGACCACAGATTGTACGGAGACAACCTTTATGGAAGACATCTAATCGTTTAATGTGCCGTCTATAAGGTGTCCAAGTTTAAGAACCATACAAAAGAGTTGACAAATCGACAGCTCAATACACTTGTATTTTAGTGTAAAGGTTTATTCCCCTTTTGTCCCACAGCGTATGACACAGCTAAGCAAAGGAAGCGCTGGCTTTTGCAATAGGATTAACATTTCTGGCAACTACATCTAATATATATATATATATATATATATATATATATATATAATTTCGCAAAACGTGCAATCAATTTACAAATTCATGAATTATTCACACAAAAACAAATGCAAAGGTTAATGATTTAATTGGCGAGAAATCCATCATCGCAAACAATTCAAATAATATACAAAAACCTCGCCAATTAAATCATTAACCTTTGCATTTGTTTTTGTGTGAATAATTCATGAATTTGTAAATTGATTGCACGTTTATCGAAATTAAAATAACTGATCCAAGTGCGACTTTTGGATAATAAGTGCGACATTACTGTAATTATTGAACAATATAGTTTATGCCACTTTGACAGAAAATTTACCAGTAAAAAATTCGTTTATCACCATATTTGTACATGAACGCACAACTGTAAAAATTTAAAATCAAACTCAGCGTTGCTATTGCACGCTCCAAAAAACAATAACTCATTTCAATAGCATTTTCGGATACAACAATACATATATTTTCGTTTGTCCTCTTATTACTAAGAGAAAACAAGAACAACATCTATTCCATACCTGAAGATGTCTGTAGGAACAGACGAAAGCTTGTAGTAAAAAATAAGAACTAATGCGGCAGGAATTTATAGAAACAAGGATCTTTTCATTCATAACGGATTCGGAGGTTTTTGTATATTATTTGAATTGTTTGCGATGATGGATTTCTCGACAATTAAATCATTAACCTTTGCATTTGTTTTTGTGTGAATAATTCATGAATTTGTAAATATATATATATATATATATATATATATATATATATATATATATGACGTCACATATTATGAACTGGACAACGTCCGACAATTATTTTAAATATAAACGTATAAACATAAAAATGTCTTTATATATATATATATATATTGAGAGAGAGAGAGAGAGAGAGAGAGAGAGAGAGAGAGAGAGAGAGAGAGAGAGAGACAGATGGGAAAGACAGAAAAAGAAGAGCAGGAGAGAATGACAGAGAACAACTGAAATAAAGTGAAGGAAAGAGAAGGCAAAAGAAAATTCCTGGAAGAGAGAAAGAGTGTGATAGACGAAAGATAAAGATTGAAAAATAGGGAATGAGTGTGTGTGTCTGTGTGTGTGTGTGTGAGAGAGAGAGAAAGAGAGAGAAAAATAGAAAAGTGAAAGAAAGAGTGAAAAAGAGAGGGAAATAGAAAAAGAGAGAGAAGGAGAGAGAAAGATAGAAAGAGAGAATAAGAGAAAAAGAGAGAGAAAAAGAAAGAGAAAGAGAGAGAGAGAGAAAGAGAAAGAGAGAAATAAACACAGAGAGAAATACAGAAAAAGACAGAGAAAAAAAGTGAGATAGATATATATCAAGAAATAGGGAGGGAATTGCCTGAGTACTTTATGAGTCTTCTCGGCTATAGTTTAAATAAGCGTTTCAGCAGCGAAATGTCATCGAGCCTTTGGGGGACATAAAATCTTCAGTGACGTTTCTCTTTCGCTTTCTTCCATTTTCACTGATTATTAGCGGCAAATAAATAAAAGTACAGGTTTCATGGCTAGTTAAAAAAAAAAAATCAAGAAAAAATATCCATAAATAGAGAGATAAAGAAAACGAAGATCGCAGAGTAGAAATAAAAGCTCTGTACAATTAAAGAAATTAGCTAAATTGGCCAGGATTTCTTTATTCAACATAAATTTCAGTCTCCGTTCCACGTACTCAGTCAGACATATTTGAAAAATCAAGAATGAAAAGTTAAAATTAAAATTCTTGAAATAATTTTTTTTTTTAATTTCGTCGAATTAAATGTCAGTGTTTTAATTACATTGAGGGAATGATAGAATGAAAAACTTAAGAGATGAACGAATGACTGATTGAAAGAATAAATGATTAACGGAATGAAGAAAGATTTGCATGAACGAATGAATGATAAAGCAATGAACAAAGGAATGATTGATTGAAAGAATGAATATTTGAACAAGTGATTGAGGAATGAATGACTGAAAAACTAAATGAATGAAATAAAAAAAAGCAGGAATGAAGGAATGAATAACTGCAGGATGAAATGAAAAAAATGAATGAAACAATATATTATTGAATGGATGAAAGAACGAAAGACTGACGATTGAACAAACGAATGAAAGAGGGAATATTTGTGTAGACGCTTCATTTATTTATTAAACAGTATATTTATTTATTTTCATCTACCGACCTGAATATTCGACAAAAACTCGTTAAAGAAAAATACGTGCTCTCCGACAGGATTCGAACTTGTGTCTCTCTTGCCATTGGGAAACCGTCACTAGCCATGTCGATCAAGCCAAGTCTGAAGCGATATCCTACTCGTATTAAATTCTTCGAAGTTTTCATATCTGCCCAGTTTCGTATTTACACTTAAACAGAGTAATTGTGCCAAGTCGGCTGCAGGGCTGAGCTGGCTAAAGCACGTTGAATCTAGCGTAGCTCGTCAAAATATTCGCCATGTTTATAGCGTCAAAGTAGTGAAAGACTTGCATCGTCTCATCTGCAGGAAAAGAAGTAGAAAAAAGCAATGAAAAAACACGTATAAACTGACAAATATTAGAAATTTACAATGATTTAAAGCAACCAAAGTTTTTTACATGAAGATGCACACGCACACACACACACACACACACACACACACACACACATATATATATATATATATATATATATATGCACCGGAACATATGCATATATATATATATATATATATATATATATATATATATATATATATATATATATATATATATATATATATGCACTGGAACATATGCATAAACGTTTATAACAAAAGTGGGCAAATTTAGTTTATATTAGAGTCACATACGATTATTTTCAGATGTTATAGAAGCGTCAGACATGAACACAATCAATAGATGTTTTTATTGTTACGTAGTTCTCTTGTTAGAAATATTTTTATGCAGACATTAACAAATAAACGAACGCAATAATATTTATTCACGTATATAATTTCTCGAAACGGTTCATTTGTAATAGTTTCAGTAATCACAAGGACATCCACACACAAACATATGTTATACAGGGTATCCATAAAGTTGGTGTGCACTTTAAAGAATTTATAACTTTATTTGTATTTGCAATAGTAATATTTTGTAAAAAAGGATTAGAAAGAAGTAAATCTATTATTTTTTAAGGTTTCATTGAAATTTTATTTAAGATTTCACATATCCTCCATCATTAGCAATACAAAGGGTAATACGATTTTGTAGTTCACGGAAAACATTTGCCAACTGATTTACAGGAATGCTTGAAATCACATTAGTTATTTCAGCTATACTTAAAACAAGGTAGATTAAACTTTATAACATATGAATATTGTTGTCACTTATAGCCTGGTGCTCTTGCTATATATTTAGAAATTCTTGATAAAATACAAAAAAGTATCTGCAATGTTATTGGTCTTGACATGACATCTCGGATTCAGTCTCTTTCTCACCGCCTTAAGGTAGCTTCCCTGTGTTTCTCTATAAATACTTTCATGGGATTTGATTTGATAAACTTGGCAAAGTAACAGGCTAACTCTCTGCTTTCGGGCAGAGAGGAACCCGGACGAGGCTCCGCCGAAGGGCAGAGTCTCGTTCGGGGTGGTTGACTGCCCCTGAACCCGTTTATGCGGGTTCAAAGAGGGAATAGTTTTGGCCGAGCCTGCGGGCTCGGAGATCCCACGTTAAATCCGGCCTTGTGCCACATGTAACCCTTGTGGGGGGGGTAGCTAAATATCACTTTCCGTTTCGCATGTCCATGTTTTAGTTCTGTTGGTTAAGATGGTCAACAGTAAATATCCTGTCCAGTATTATAGATTAGCTGATCAGATGACGAACCATCACCGACTAGTCATAATCCCCTGTTGCTTATCTGCTTATGAGAAGCTAAGGGGACATCATGGCTAAGTATTGGGGCGAATTTTTTAGTGGATAATTGGTTTCCTATAAACATGCCTCAGCATCAGTTAGTTGGAGTACTTTTCCCTCACTCAATAATAATAATAATAATAATAATAATAATAAATAATAATAATAATAAATAACAATACTAAATAATATTAGTAAATGATAATAATAATGATAATAACTAATAATAATAATAATAATAAAAATAAATAATAATAAATAATAATAGTAAATGATAATAATAATAGATATTAATAATAATATTAAATAAATAATAATAATAAATACTACTACAAATAAATAATAATAATAATAAATAATAATAAATATTATTAGTAAATGATAATAATAATAGATAATAATAATAATATTAAATACTACTACTACTACTAATAATAATAATAAATTATAATAATAATAATAATAAAATAATAATAATAATCATAAATAACAATACTAAATAATATTAGTAAATGATAATAATAATGATAATAATAACTAATAATAATAATAATAATAAAAATAAATAATAATAAATAATAATAGTTAATAATAATATTAAATAAATAATAATAATAAATACTACTACTAATAAATAATAATAATAATAATAAATACTACTACTACTACTAATAATAAATAATAAATAATAATAATAAATAATAATAATCTCGGTATGAGAGAGTGGGCCAATATCTACAGATCGTTTCTTTTAAGATGATGAGATAGACAAGGTTACTTGGAAGTCACCTTTAGATACTTTGAAGCACTTTAAATCGGACCCTCTGAATGGATGGGGTTATCCGACCAAAGGTATTTCCAAATAGGCTACACCTACTTTTATTTATTAATATCCAGAAACAATTGATCATCTTGTATCTGGTTGCACGATATTGGCAGCCACTGAATATAAAACCCGGCATGACAGAGTTGGTCAATATCTGCATTGGAAAATCTGAAACTTCTACAGGAAGGAAACTGAAAGAAACTGGTATGAACACCACCCAGACCCATTTACGGAGATAGGACCTGTTACAATTTTATGGGACTACACAATACACACAGAGAGAACAATCAAAGATAACCGCCTAGACGTTGTTATTAGAGATCGCACACAAAAAGGTGCCTCCTTATTGATATGGCAGTCCCTGCAGACTGCAATGTATCTTTGAAGTGTTACGTTTTTTTGGGTATATTATACATATAACTAGTGAGCGAGTCAGAATGACTTATTTCCCTTTATAGTCGACCAATAGAAGGTTGACCAATCAGAAGCCGCACAACACTGTATTCGTCGTGTATAAAGGCGGCCATTTTGTTTCCTCTACCGGAAGGACCAAAGGCGACCAGGAGAAGGATGAACTACACTCTGCTGTGATATCCACTGCGAACCTAAAGTACGCTTTCCTACTGTCTCCGAAATATTCACTGCCAACCTTTGGATTCTATACTCGAGGACGACCGTCATGAGAATGTCTAACATGAAGATCTTCAAAAAGCTGTCAAAATACAAGGATCTTGAAATCGAAATCTCAAAAATGTGGCACATGAGAAGATCAATTGGTTGGAAAAGATTCCAGTAGACTAATTGAAGGGATTCCTGAAAGTCCATGCCTCAAAGAAATACAAAAAAATTGTTCTCACAAGTACAGACCACACCTTACAAAGAGTTTTATCTATGTAAAACGTGTGTGTGTGTGTGTGTGTGTGTTTGTTTTTGTTTATTAATTGGTCAGTGGAAAATGTCATGATGCCATTTCTGACCCTAGGTCTCTGAGCGGGACCCGGAAAGAAATCTGTACACACCAGAAATCAAAAGAAATATTTCAATAATAATAATAATAATCTCGGTATGACAGAGTGGGCCAATATCTGCACTGTTAAACCTTTACGGGAAGGAAATTGCAAGAATCTGTTATGGACACCATCCAGAGCAGTTTACAGACATAGGATATGTAAGAAATTTATAGGATACTATACAATACACAGAGACAGAACAATCAAAACTCATTGGCCAGACATCGTAATCAGAGACCCACAAAAACAGAATGGGCTTATTGACATGGATATCCTTGCAGACTGCAATGTATCTCTGAAGATCTTCAAAAAACTCTGTAAACTACTAGCATCTTGAAGTGAAATCTCAAAAATGTAGCAGATGAGGACATCAACAATTCCAGTTTTAGTTGGAGCCCTCGGATTGATTGGAAAAGGTTCCGATAGAATTATTATTATTGAATGTATTCTTGGTAGCCCATGCCTTAAAGAAATACAAAAAATTGTACTCCCAAGAACACCCCATACTTTACGAATAGTTTTATATATGTAAAATTTACGTGATATTTGTTTGTTTTTTTTACACAAAATGATTATTGAAAAATATCATGAAGGCATTTCTGACTAGGTCTCTGGTTGGGACCCGGAAGGAAATGATTCTACAACTGATATAAAAGAAAATACTAATTATAAATACTGACCTGTAACAATTTTATGGGATTTTACAATACAGGACAATCAAAGCTGATCACCCAGACATAGTGACCGAAGATCACAAAAAACAGAATATGCTTTCTTATAGACATGGCTGTTCCTGCAGACTGTTATGTATCATGTATCTTTGAAGATCTTCAAAAAGTTATCAGAATACAAGGGTCTTGAAGTGAAAATCTAAAAACTGTGGCACATGAAGACATCACTAATTCCAGTTGTGGTTAGGGTCCTGGGTTTTATTGGTAAAAGTTCTGATAGACTCATTGAAGGTAGCTCATAAAGAAATTAAAAAAAAACATTATACTCACAAGTACAGTTCACAACTTACGAAGAGATTTCTCTATATAAAATTGCGTGATATCTGTTTACAAAAATGCTCAGTAGAAAATGTCATGAAGCCATTTCTGACCATAGGTCTCCGGTTGGGACCCGGAAGAAAGGAAATGAGTGTACAACAGAAATCAAAGGAAATAATAATAATAATAGTAGTAGTAGTAGTAAGAAGACATTGTAATGGCAGAACAGGCGAAAATACAGAGATACCAAAACCTAGCAGAGCAACTGAGGGAAATATACAAAACAGGAGTTCCAGTTTCCTATGTTGTATTTGGCGCAATCAGAATTATCTTTAGGAATCATTTTATCTCGCAAGATGCCTGATGGATACCTGACATTTTATTGGCAGTGCGCATATGGTAGCTTTGCTTGGAATATATGTGTCCCAATATCGCTTTGTTGGCGTATTGCTCTTTCATTCACTAGTAGTAGTAGTGGTAGTAGTAGCAGTAGTAGTGGTGGTAGTAGTAGTGGTGGTAGTAGTAGTGGTGGTAGTAGTGGTGGTGGTGGTAGTAGTAGTAGTGGTGGTATTAGTAGTAGTAGTGGTAGTAGTAGTGGTAATAGTAGTGGTGGTGGTGGTGGTGGTTGGTGGTGAGTGGTGTGGTTGGTGTTAGTGGTAGTGGTGGTGAGTGGTAATTGGTAATGGTGGTGTGGTAATGGGAATTAATTGGTGGTGGTAGTGGTGGCAGTGGTAGTGGTGGTAGTGGTAATTATTGGTGTTAATTAGTAGTAGTGGTGTAGGTGGTAATGGTAATAGTGGTGGTGGGTGGTGGTAGTGGTGGCAGTGGTGGTTAATTGGTGTAGTGGTGAGTTGGTAGTGGTAGTGGTAGTAGTAGTAGTAGTGGTGGTGGTAGTAGTAGTGGTGGTAGTAGTAGTGGTGGTGGTAGTAGTTGTGGTGGTGGTAGTAGTATTAGTTGTGGTGGTGGTAGTAGTAGTAGTGGTGGTATTAGTAGTAGTAGTAGTAGTAATGGTAATAGTAGTGGTCGTAGTGGTGGTGGTAGTAGTAGTAGTGTCAGTAGTAGTAGTGGTAGTGGTAGTAGCGGTGGTAGTGGTGGTCGTAGTAGTAGTAGTAATGTCGGTTGAATAAATCATATTTGAAGTGGCGCTTGTTTGGCGTGACCGTCTGAGATCGAAATTATAGATTATACGTAGTGAGCGAAATGTTTTTTTTAAAACGTACTAAGCGACTTATATACAATCAAATACTGTTGTCTGTTTTAACATACCTTTTACCGGCTTTTTATTATTCTGTTCGTCTCTTCAAATTACCACCAATGATACACGATAGGGACTACATAAGAACAATCAGGCTTATCAGGATGGATGTCATGGTGCGTGCACTGGGCTTCCTATATTTTCACCGGGGGTGGGGGGGGTCACTTTGTTTGCACTCTTCTCCCTCCCTCCCTCAAATAATAATAATAATAATAATAAAAGTAGTAAAGAATAAAATATATGTCATCAGTGTGATTTTTTTTCTTATTTTTCTTTTATACTGACTGTAATGGGAAACGGAGGCCAGTCGCTATTTTTTCCACGAGCCTCGCATTAAATGTCAAAGAGCCGCACATTGGCTCACGATCCGAGGTTTGGCCAACCTTGGTATATGCACACATACATATATCTATACATACATATATCTATACATACATATATGTATACACGCACACAGAAACGCATACACATACAACACATACACACAGACATATATATATATATATATATATATATATATATATAAGAACACCGGATTATATATCTTACTGTTCTTTTCTTTCTTTATATATATATATATATATATATATATATAATGATAATAATAATCAAGAAGAAAACCTTAGTAAATGGATGCATTTACTAAGAGATTTCGATCTGAAGAGATGAATATATAGAAATATTCACGAAATAAATTATAACCGAAATGTTCTTTAAGGTTTTCTTATTAATTATATATATATATATATATATATATATATATATATAAAGTGAACATTAAGTCAACACTTACAGGAGACAGGCTGTTTCATGCTAGACGCAATCGTGGCCTGACGATTGCGTCTAGCATGAAACAGACTGTCGCTTATAAGTGTTGACTTCAATGTTCACTTTTTATATTTACACACTCTCTATCTCTGATATTGAGCACTTTATCCCATAAGTCTATAATTCGTCACACACATATATATATATATATATATATATTGAACAATAAAAAAATATTAAAAAATTAAAATCGTTAGACACACTGGGTTGTAGATTCTTTCGTTTTTTTTTATTATTATTTCATTTAGATTCCTCGACTAGTTTCGACCAACATGGCCATCATCGGGAGGAGAAATATTTCTGCTTGCTGGTAGCAGTAAACTACAGAAATATATATATATACACACTGCGTACCAAATGATTATTGAGAAACTGGCAACCATATTTGTTATCAGCACGGTGATTTGAACGTGCCAAATTATTAGAAAAGTTAAGAATTTAGTGAAAAGATGGGCAGTAAAAGCAGTTTAAGTGATTCTGAAAAGAAAACTATCACGTCAGAACTCTCAAAAAGTAAATCTACCCTAGAAATTTCTAAAATGATATGGAGGTGTCATCAAACAGTGAAAAAGTTCACCGCCGACCCTACACAATTGCGCAAAAGGGCAGATAAAGGCAAGCCGAGGGTTATTTCACGTCGTCTCATGTCATGACTTAAATGAGAGGCCATGAAGAACCCTGGACTTACCAGTCAAGAGCTTTTCAGTCGCATTGGGGATCCTACTGTGTCTAAAAGTACTCGGTGTCGGTATCTGAGGGAAATAGCAACAACAGTCAAACCTTTATCGAAGCCTCCGTTGACGAGAAATCACATTCAAAATCAACTGAAATGGGCCGAGGACAATATGAAGATTGACTTCTCTAACGTTTTGTTCACAGACGAAACTCGAGCAACACTTGATGGGCCAGATAGATGGTTCAAAGGCTGGATAATGAACGGACAGAATCGCCATCAGCGTTTGAGACGCCAACAAGGCGGTGGAGGGATAATGATCAGGGGTGGTATTATTGGAAAATCATTAGTGGGCTCATGGAGAGTACCAGATGGCGTCAAAATGACTGCTGATGCATACATAGCGTTTATGAAGGAGCATCTTGAACCGTGGATGAAAAGGCAAAGTGTTGCCTTCAGAAGGGCCATTGTTTTTATGCAAGATAATGCTCCCTCACATGCTGTTCACAAGACTACTCAATATTTGAAACAGTTAGGCTTCGATGGACCTCGAAAAATGAAGTGGTCAGCAAATTCTCCGGATTTGAACCCAATCGAAAACATTTGGAGCATCATGAAGTGAAGACTGTACGCCAACGGACGACAATTCAGGAGCAACGCTGAGTTGTGGGAAGTCATTCTTGACATATCTCGCGGCATTACAGCAGATGACATCCTACAATTAACTAATTCTATGGATCGTCGACTTCTTCAAGTAATTTCAAAACAGGGAAAGCACATTCCCTATTAATTTGTTTAAAACTGTGCCTTTGTTTGTATCTGTTATTATTTGTTTGATTATCTTATTTATTAGCTTCTTTTGATCATAAACATTCACGTGCAACATTAATAAATGCTCTTGTTTGCTCTATTTTGGGAATTTTACTAAACCTTTCTAATAATTTGGCACGCTCAAATCACCGTGCTGATAACAAATATGGCGCCAGTTTGTTTACATTGCGCAGATCAGTACGATTCAGTAATTGCGCAGGCCAGTGTTGCCAACATTCTGTGAAAACTTATGTGAATTGATTGAACGGTTTTTGAAATATTAGAAAAAAAGTTATCTCAATAATAATTTGGCACGCAGTGTATATATATATATATATATATATATATATATATATATATATATATATATATATATATATATATATATATATATATCCATACATAAACAGAGACTTATAGAATATGAATTCATAAAGCATATGCTCTTATAGAAATGCGTGGGCGTACTCATATTCTTTCTCTCTTTCCCGTACACTCACAAATACAAATACGTACGTAAAACTTAATTTTTTTAGACAACTATGCACGCATTCGACAGAGAAATTTAAAATGACAACTTTACAGGCAATATTTTCCATTCGTAATTTTTCAAAATGCTATCTTATTCTTGAATATTCTAAAATAATGAAATTTCGTTTTTCTTTCTGTATGCCATTTTTTTCTCAATTTTTGTTTTTTATTTTATTTTCTAATCTCACAATTGATTTTTATTTGCGTTTAAGAGAATCCTAAAAACGAAATAGCGAGAAAGCGAGAAGTCATAAACTGAAAAACATTTTGCTTTATGAAAAATGATATCTCTCTCAGCCTGTTCATATTCCATCTATCTAAATATCTATATCTATCTATCTATCTATCTATCTATCTCTGTTCATATCCATCCATCCATCTATCTATCTATCTATCTATCTTATCTATCTCAGCATGTTTTTATTCATTATCTATCTATCTATTTATCTATCTAAACATCTATCTATCTATCTCAGCATGTTCATATCTATCTATCTATCTATCCATCCATCTATCTATCCATCTATCTATCTATCTCAGCATGTTCATAGTATCTATCTATCTATCTATCATGAATCTATCTATTCATCTATCTATCTCAGCCTGTTCATTATCTATCTATCTATCTATCTATCTATCTATCTATCTATCTATCTATCTATCTATCTATCTATCTCAGCCTGTTCATTATCTATCTATCTATCTATCTATCTATCTATCTATCTATCTATCTATTTATCTATCTCAGCCTGTTCATAGCTATGTGTCGTCATAGTTTTCCAAAGGTAACTATTTTAACCCGAACAACACTTGATAAAGCTCATTGTGTTTGCCTCCATGATAATATTTTCATTCAAATACATATCTCTATACTGCTAATGTCTATTTATTTATTTATTTATTTAGTCTCTCCCCCACCAATCGGTGTTCGCCTATCGTCCGGTTCATACTCCTTCCGAGTCTTTCGAACAGGAGTAGAGGTCCATCCTTTGTCTGAGCCTGAACTCTGAAATGTTATTCACTAATTGAATTTTGACCTCTTCAATTCTAGCATTAGCCTTTATCTTTTCTGAATGAGATCCAAGAACCTCACTTCTTGTCGTAGTTTACGCTAATGCAATACCGTACAGTAACCCTATTCTTTGAGTGGCTCTTGTGCCTTGGATTGAGTGAACATTAATGGAAAAAAAAACAAACAGAAAAAAACCCACCTACACATAAACTATTTTACAACAAGAAATGCTCTCTGATACCCAAACATATACAATCATCCTGCATAGCTAAGGCAGTTAGTTTTTTTTCTACGCGTTACTAAATTCGATATTCAAGACTCAATTTAAAAAAAATAAATGCTGATTTTCGAGTCATTCAAATCTGCAATCACCACAAGTTTCCTCAATTATTCATTGTCGTTTGTTCAGTATTGAGTTTATTAAATATAAGTTTATATTCTCCATTAAAGTCCTATCCATACATTTACGTCTATCAGAGTTGTTCACTATTTACATTGCTCGGACTATCATCCTCATCTTTGTTGCCATATTTGTCACAACGTTTCGGTTGAAACCTTTTATTTAACCAGTGGATAAAGGCGTTAGTTAGATCCAGTGATAGGACCCAAAGAGTGTGAGTTCAATACTCGTTTAAGGCTGTGGAGAACTTTCAGAGGGAATTTAACAGAAGATAACTGATAACTGACATCCATTAGACATGGCACGTGGAACTAGAACAGTCTATCCCAGAGCGAAATAAAGGGTTCAGTTCGACATTCCAGCTATCTGAAGAAGGCCGAAGCGTACAACGGCCAAAACATTGTGATAAATATGGCAACAAAAATGAGGATGATAGTCCGAGCAATGTAAATAATACCTCATCTCAGAAATATAGACAAATACCAGAGTTGTTGTTTAATATTAGCAGCTATTATTACAAGTGAATGGTAGCTCATTGCACATGATACCGTGAGGTATCTGTTTCAGTCACTTGTTTTGTGTGTGTAATGTTCATAATGAATTATTCGCCACAAATTTAAAAGCTTTGACACAGCATTATCTCCGTTTTTGTTATTACTGCTCTCACTAATTTTGTTACCTTTGATCATTCGTATCATCTGCATCAGCCATTGTTTCGTTTTGTTCCCAGAACAAGTTATTCAAGCAAATTACACAAATAAGTATCTTGCCGCGCCATCAACGGTTTAATTACATTGAAGCTAAAGACCGCTTCACATATCGTATGACTCAGTCGATAGTCGTGACTACCTTATTTCACTCGTTCTTTCATTGTGACGCTTCCGCTGGGTAAAATAATCCCTGTCAAGTTCTAAGGTTTATCTGTCAAATATCAGCATGGCTCAGATGTGGCATTTATGTCGTAGTTAGATACCCAATGAGGCATTTTAGTGGCGGACTCGCAAAATAAAGTCTTTAGGCGAAGCGTTTTTTTTTTTTTTTTTTTTGTCGGCTGCTTGTATGAAATATTGATCGGCTCAATCGTTATATCTACTACCCGGACATTGTTTACTGAAGCAGGAACAAAATGCACCTAAACGAAATTAAAAAAAAAAGAACCCACCTAAAAAACAAAAATAAAACGTATCAAATTTTTTTCCTTTTAAGCTCTCAAATGTTATGGTATTATAAATAAGATGGCAGACATATTGTCTCTTGTTTGATAATTTTGTCGCCTGTAAGAGTAGATCATTAAAATACACTGACAGTAAATAAAATTGCAACAATCTGACGGTTCTGGTTTTGACCTAGGTATCCAAATGGAAGGATCATTTTTAATATATCAGGAAATGATTCTTCAAATGGATAGCTCAATAGTTCTTATTTTTGTGATAATATATTTTGGGGAAATGGAACTTTCGTCACTAAAGGCAAAATTCAGATATCGGCTGGATTTTCCAAATGACATTCAGTTCGCTATCAGTTTTTTTTATAACTAAGGAAAAGTAATAGCAGTTTTAAATGGTTTTATTAGTAATAATTTGATACGGATTTTTAACTTTGGCATATGATAAATTTGAATATTTTCTTTGGATTCTTGATATTAAATTCGCTTGATATGCATTTTTAAATTTAATGGCTTAAAATGGAAGTTAAAATAGATTTTGAAATCTCAAAGGAAGACAAGCTTTGTAAAATGTTAAGAATCGCTGAAACTTATCACTCCTAATTATGCAAATAGTTCAACTGTAAAAAATTGAAGAGATACTGAAACGATAAATATGAAAGCTTCGAGGAGGTGATCTTAATTAAGAATATGATGATTGAATTTATCGTAAAACTGATAGATATTGAGAACTGGAATTTTTAAAAATATATTATTACCATTTGAATATTATATATATATATATATTATGAAATGAACAAAGTCCGACAATTAAGACATTTTTTATGTTTATACGTTCTTTTTATAGATACAAATCTTTAAGTAAATGCTCTGTTTATTATAAACAGTATTAACAACATTTACCAGCCTGAATGTGTGAGAAATTTTCATATAAAATATTCGTCCTCCGACAGGAATCGAACCTGTATCCTATACGAAGCCGTCATATAGACTGACGTGCCTTTAACCGATTTGGCCACAGAGGAGCGTTCGGTGAGCAAGGTCGATTTTACTGTTTTTAAACACAATTCTCCATGATTTTCTCTCATGCATTCATATTTGAATGTACGAGAGACAATCATGGAGAATTGTAGTTTAAAAACACAAAATCGACCCTGCTAACCGAAACGCTCCTCTGTGGCTCAATCGGTAAAATCACGTCAGGCTATATGACGCTTCTGTAAAGGATACAGGTTCGATTCCTGTCGGAGTACGGATGTTTTATATGAAAATTTCTCGCACATTCAGGCCGGTAAATGTCGTTAATACTGTTTATTATAAACAGAGCATTTACTTAAAGATTTGTATCTATAAAAAGAACGTATAAACATAAAAAAATGTCTTAAAATAATTGTCGGACTTTGTCCATTTCATATATATATATATTCAACAGATTTTTATTACTTTCAACGTTAGTTTTAGTGGATGCCCGTGCAATGGGTAAATTATATTTTTAATTTCGTGCATGTTGTTTGTTTTTTAACAGTCGTGTACACCTATTTCCTGTCTGGTCACTTTTTTGCGTGTTTATATATCTAAATATGTCTGCGTGTTTGTGTATTATAATCTGATTCTGTATTTATTGTCAAGATTTCACCCTACCCTGCCAATGTCTTTACTCCAAATGTATCTATGTTGTCACGGAGTTCAGAGCAACATTTGATCTTAACGTTTATTGCAACTGAATTTCAATAAAAACAAAATAAAAAGAAAAACATATGTATGTTTTTCTCCGTTTCTTCTTTAAATAATTTTATAATTTTAAACTTAATATAGATTAAATTTAAAATTTAAAATTAATAATTTTTAATTTTTAATTTTATAGTATAATTTAATATTTATTAGTTAGAATTAATTCTATTTTAGTCTAACCCAAACATTACAGCATTAAATAATTATTATAACCAAAGTTCGTTGTCAAGCTTTTTGAATTCTCATATACTTGTATTTTGATTGGTCATTCCAGCTTATGTAACAGAGTTTCCCCTAGCGAGGGGTGTTTGATTGATTTGAACCTTTTGAAACCCTTTATACTACATTCAACATCATCACTTGATAAGACACCAGAAGTGTTGAAACAAAATGGCTATTTTTGTAGTGATTTTATAACACATTTATGTTATAATTTGCGAAGAAATAATTATATATATATATATATATATGTTAAGAAATGGACAAGGTCCGACAATTTATTTATTAAAGACATTTTATTATGTTTAACGTTGTTATTTATAGATACAAGTATTTAAGCAAATGCTCTGTTTATGATAAACAGTATTAAATAACATTTACCGGCCTGAATGTCCGAGAAATTTTCATAGAAAATATTCGTTCTTTGACAGGATTCGAACCTGCATCCTATACGGAACCGTCATATACGCTGACGTGCCTTAACCGTCTCGGCCACAAAGAACCTTTACGTAAGGTTCTTTGTGGCGGAAATTCGACCTTGTCTGCCAAAGAACGGAATATTTTCTATGAAAATTTCTCGACATTCGGTAAATGTTTTTAATACTGTTTATCATAAACAGAGCATTTGTTTTAAATACGGTATCTATAAATAACAACGTTAAACATAATAAAATGTCTTTAATAAATATATATATAAGTTTTAGAAAGATAAGGCACGAAATTGTATTTCGCTAAGAAAGAATATATCATTTGTAAATGATTACGTTATTTATTAGTGGAGTTATCTTGAAAAATGTGTCAAGTTTTGCACAAGACAATATAAACGCCGATTACGTTGAAAGATGGCGACGATTCACATTTTTGAGTAATTCCTTGTCTCTTCGTTTATTCAAATGAAACTCTTTTTTTCCTGAGAATGTAGAATGCTCATAGCATTCGGTAGTAGTAGCAGTAGTAAGGAATTTCTTCAATCTAAATAATTAGACGGCAAATTCTATCTGTCCGTCCGTATATCGGAAACTCCTTTAACCCAGGCCATACTTGCTCTACATAGACATATTATACCTTTTTAGAATCAGGATGATCCCAGGATTGAAAATCTGCCCTTAATCTGGTGCCTGAACATCCAGCATTGGGATTTGTGCCCGGATGAGGAGGGATCAGTTAAAAATTTAAATTTTAAAATAACTGTAAACAATTAGTGATTTTAAAAGTTTTTAATTTATATTGAGTTTAATGTAACCTTTAGAACTTTGTGAATTTAATTTTTTTTTAAATTCAGTTTAAAATATCTCTAAAACTTTGTGAATTGAGGAAACCAATTTTATTTCCTATTATTATTTAATCTGAGTTTAAGTGAGAAGTTTCGTGACGTGAGGTTTTAAAGTTCCGCAGAGTTTGTGATATAATTTGAAGAACACAATTTTCGGCTTGAATTGAAATTACGGCCCAAATCGGAGTTTCGACCAAAATTGAACTTTCGGTCTAAATCGTGCTTTCGGCCCAAATCGTACTTTCGGCCCAAATCGTGCTTTCGGCCCAAATCCTAGTTTCGGCCCAAATCCTAGTTTCGGCCCAAATCTTAGTTTCAGCCCAAATCGTGCTTTCGGCCCAAATCGTACTTTCGGCCCAAATCCTAGTTTCGGCCCAAATCGTGCTTTCGGCCCAAATCCTAGTTTCAGCCCAAATCGTGCTTTCGGCCCAAATCCTAGCTTCGGCCCAAATCGTGCTTTTGGCCCAAATCGTACTTTCGGCCCAAATCGGTCTTTTAACCATAATTGGACAGTTAAAGTGAGGTTTTGAAGTTCCATGGAGTGAATTGAAGAATTCAAAGTTATTTCTTCAAAAGTATCATTGCTGTTTTCGATGCTGGACTAGAGATTCCTTTAGCTACATGAGCTACCTTAAAATACCCCACTGATTTTAAGCTAGTATTTAATAAAAGTGTTGTTTGGAATAAGAATATCCAGGGTGGATTTTTCTCCGCAAAAGAATAATCGTCTCTGGTCGTCTTTTTGAAACTTAAGAGTATACTTGATAAAATCTATTTGAAATGTATATTTTTTATCTATATTTTTGAGTTCTTTTCTTCTTTTTAGATGTCTAACATCTTTTTCGTTCATTTTTTTTTCCTGTCGGTTTTTTTCTTTCTCCCATTAGAAGAATTTAAAGAGATTACCAAATTAAGAATAGATATCCGAAATATTTACTAAAGGATTTATCAGTCCATTAATTTTGGCACACCTCTTTGCTGCAATATTAAATTCTTACTTCATTCGATTCTTCTGTTATTTTCTCCGGATGTGTGGGTAGTGTCACGGCTAACGACTCTCAAAGAGAAATCGGCAAGCCAGGTTCAAATTCTAGCCGAATTCGTCACGTTCATTGAATCTATTCTCCCCTACCCAGTTATAGGTTAAGTAGCAGAGCTGACTGGATTCTCTTTCCTTGAAAAGACAACCAGACTTGACTTGGATTAGGGAAACTCTGAAAACAGTTCGAAGAACGATGGGCTCCGTCAAGTTATCTTAGCCTAGGACATGTAGTACATGTGGCATCCCTACTATATTAATGGGTCACGGGACATATGATATGAGGTGACGTAGTCTTCTGAATATTTGCCCCAAGCATCTGAGTATTCTTGAGAATTTTTTTGGTCTCACTCTTGTTCTCAAGAACTTTAAAACTCAAGAGGCCTTAAAGACATACATCTGCACAGATTGTTATAATTTACACACACACACACACACACACACACACACACACACACACACACACACACACACATTGACGCTGACATGCATGGCAGGAAAAATCTTCGCAACATTTGCATTAGTATCGATATAATTATTTTCCTTTTATAAGCGCATGCGCGAATTCCTTTGTGTGCATCTTTCGTTGCCTTACACTCTAGTCACGTGATAGGTCGAGTGCCGGAAATCTATTCTTCATTCTCTGCTTTTGGTCACACAGGGACGTATTCAATCGAAACAAAAGGAAGGAACATGCCTTTAAGTATTTCTCTCTTCACTTTCGTTGATAGATAGATAGACAGATAGATAGATAGATAGATAGATAGATAGAGATAGATAGATAGATAGATATAACTAGCTAGCTAGATAAATCGAGATAGATATATAGACAGATAGAGAGAGCGATAGATAGATCGAGATATATTTAGATAACTAGGGAGAAAGAGAGGTAGAATAAGAGATAGATCGAAATAGATATAGATAAAGGAGACGAAGTGTGAAAGATAGATAGAGAAAGATAGAGAAAGAGATAGATAAATGAAGAGATAGATGAATAGATAGACATAGAAAGACATAGATAGATAGATAGATAGATAGATAGATAGATATGAGCAGAATAATTTAGATAGATAGATAGATAGATAGATAGACAGATAGATAGATAGATATACCTCTGATATTTCTCTATCCTTCTTGAAAGATGGGTGCATATTATCGATTGTAGTAAAAGTTCGTTGGTTAACGAAATATGGTTCGAGCCTAAAAGGCTTGTTTTTGTGTCTTCATTGTGAAAACTTTTGTCTTATTTACTTCTTAGCGTGAGCATTCCGTTCTTCATATTGTATTCTCTGCATTCACTGCTGTTCGCCAAGGGGCATTGGTTATACTAAAGTCCAAGGTGTATGTTTATATGCAGCCATATGCATATTCTTCTTCTTCTTCTTCTTCTTCTTCTTCTTCTCTATCTATCTATCTATCTATCTATCTATCTATCTATCTATCTATCTATCTCAGAACTCGCTTGTATGTATGTATGTATGTATGTATGTATGTATGTATCTATCTATCTATCTATCTATCTATCTATCTATCTATCTCAAAACCATCTCGTATCTATCTATCTAAATTATTCTGCTTAAATCTATCTATCTATCTATCTATCTATCTATCTATCTATCTATCTATCTATCTATCTATCTATTCTATGTATGTACGCATGTATGTATCTATCTATCTCAAAACCCTCTCTATCTATCTATCTATCTATCTATCTATCTATCTATCTATCTATCTATCTATCTATCTCAGAACCCGTTTGTATGTATGTACGCATGTATGTATCTATCTATCTCAAAACCCTCTCGTATATATCTATCTATCTATCTATCTATCTATCTATCTATCTAAATTATTCTGCTCATATCTATCTATCTAAATTATTCTGCTTAAATCTATCTATCTATCTATCTATCTATCTATCTATCTATCTATCTATCTATCTAAATTATTCTGCTCATATCTATCTATCTATCTATCTATCTATCTATCTATCTAAAATGAAATATGTATGCGTACATTTATCTATTTAGCTAATTATATATGCGGATTGACTGATTGTTTTTTTACGGCTTGTCAACCTTTTGAAGGTTATTTAAAGGCAGATAATATTTTTATATTCTAAGTACTTTCTTTGGCGATAATAATGATTTTACTGATAGGAATCCTACTGATCAGCCCAAAGTTGGAAGGAAAAGAAGCGGATTTATACATTTCCCAAAGTTATTTGCGCATAAGTGAATATAAATAACCCTACTGGAAATGGAACTCAGCACTTCGATTTCCAATTCCAAGTCGATATCCATTACATCTCTTGCACATCCAACCTTAGTGCACCTTGTATTCCCAAACGATCATCCATCTTTAAAAATGTCACACAAGTTACCTCCATTCCTTGGCATCGAGTTAAAAAATATTTTTAATTTCCAGTGTTAAAGCATATTACATCCATAGATATGCAACCCTAAAGATGGTCTCAAATGAGATCGAAAGTACTTGGGGAAAATAAAGATTATTTGAAGGAAAATTTTGTAATCTATTTTCTTCAGCCACCAAGAAATTAATTCTTGGACTTGAATAGATCAAAACTAAAATTAGTAGATATAATATATCTAAATTATTTACCCGCCATGCTTGAATGAAAATATACAGCCTAAATATCCATGCTGATAAGTTGTGTTACAGCGAAACAGTATATCTGTGGATGACAATATATATATATATATATATATATATATATATATATATATATATATATATATATATATAATAAAAAGGCTTAAACACTAATATTAGTGTTTAAGCCTTTTTATTATATCCTTACTCTGTCCTGGACATTGAGTTCTACCTGGATTCTATCCTTTTGGAAATTTTTTTTTTATACAAATATATATATATTAAGAAATGGACAAAGTCCGACAATTTATTTATTAAAGACATTTTTATGTTTAATGTTCTTTTTTTTTTTATTTTTTATTTTTTTATAGATACAAGTATTTAAATAAATGCTCTGTTTATAATAAACAGTATTAAATAACATTTACCGGCCTGAATGTCCGAGAAATTTTCATAGGACGAATATTTTCTATGAAAATTTCTCGGACATTCAGGCCGGTAGATGTTATTTAATACTGTTTATTATAAACAGAGCATTTACTTAAATACTTGTATCCATAAAAAAAAAAGAGCGTTAAACATAAAAATGTCATTACAAATATATATGTATGTGTATGCATGTATGTATATATATTTATATATTTTGCATATGTATGTGTATATTTACACTAATATATATATATATATATATATATATATATATATATATATATATATATATATATATATATATATATTTAAGCGTTTCACTTTAATCAAGGCGGGAAGCCACTAGCATGCAAGGTGTTACTGAGAGTTGGATCGAGAGCAAATAGGAGTGATAGAGGAAAGGATGAAGAGAAGGATAGTGGATAGATCAAGGCATCTGGAGATGTCGATTGACATTACATTTGAATAGTTAGAGATTATAGCTATCAGGGAAACAGGAAAAGGGGAGGGAGTTCCACAGGCGAGAAGTGCAAGACATGAAGCTATTGGAGTAGAATAGACTGAACCCTTTATTTCGCTCACTGGGGTAGACTGTTCTAGTTCCACGTGTCACGTGTAATGGATGTCAGTTATCAGTTATCTCCTGTTAATACCCCTCTCCAAGTTCTCCACTGCCTTAACCGGGTATTGAACTCACACTCTTTGGATCCTATCACTGTATCTAACCAACACCTTTATTCACTGTGCCATGTCTCCTTGAGGACATCCATTAAACAAGGCACATGGAACTAGAACAGTCTAACCCCAGTGAGCGAAATAAAGGGTTCAGTTCGATATTCCAACCACCTGAAGAAGGCCGGAGCGTACAACGGCCGAAACATTGTAATAAATATGGCGACAAAGATGAGGACATTAGTCCGAATAATGTAAATAGTGAAACAAAATTACATACCTTTATTCGGGTTACATTTATACTAGGACACCATTTATAACGTGTCTGCGTTTTCACACGACATTTCGTTTAGTCGTTTTTAGCTATTCATCTGAAGATACGGAAGCACGATATTTTGAAAACGCAGAAATTGCCATAACCCAGCCCCGTCAAAAACAATATTTGATGATGGCTAAACTGTATTCAGATATTAAACAATTTATATTTAAATCTGTACCAAAAACGAAGAAAACAATTCGAAAATGAATAAAAATCCTTAACAGGTAACCTTCGTTGTTCTTTAACGAAGCTAATAAAGGTGATGAATTGCAGCCTGAATACATCTCTAATATACGTGTCAAAAATATTCTTATCGAAAGACTTAAATAAACTCAGGCATTAAATCTAAGCAAAAACAAAATAAGAAGGGCTGAATTATTCTACTTGTCACTACTTTTTTTTTAATCCTTGGGTGAAACTGCAAAAGGAAAAGCGAGTGAAGATCACAGTAATGCGTGAAACTGACAGTCAGTCTGCAGTGTTGATTCAAAAGTCTATATTGAGAACTTTTCCTTATAAATATAGCATATTTAATCTATCTATCTTAGTCTGTTCATATCTATCTATCTATCTATCTATCTATCTATCTATCTTAGTCTGTTCATTTCTATCTTAGTCTGTTCATATCTATCTATCTATCTATCTATCTATCTATCTATCTATCTATCTATCTATCTATCTCCCACACTCTTTCTCTCTTCAAATCAGTCGAATTCTGTTCCTATCTATCTATCTATCTATCTATCTATCTATCTATCTATCTATCTATCTATCTATTACACACCGGATGGATTTTCCCTTAGTGATTTAACAGACTTAAAATGGCGTCATTGAAGGACCCTAGTATATTAGTTTTAAAATTGTAATTATTTTCTCATTTAATTTATATATATCCTTGAAATCAAATTAAACCCCATTTTGATTTCTTAATTGTTATGTATTTTAGTGCTAACGTTCATCATGCTCATAAATTGATGTTCATTTAACAAATATCTCGCCTTCAAATTATTTAGAAACATTCTAATTATCTTCTGTTGTCTCTTTTTATTAAAATAAGAAACAAAAAGATTAAACGAAAAGACGCGCATGACGACAAAATAGAATAATCGAGGCGTTTTTGTCGCATTTATTGGGCATCGATGCAATAAGTCCTTTACTACATCCAATAAAACTTCTCTCCAAGTTTTACTATATTGCTCGGGAGATTATATATGTCTGTGAGATTATTATCTTGGATATGTGTTTTGATTGTTTGCCATAGGTTACCGGTGGGGGCGAGATTTAGCAATTGGAAAGGCCAGTCTATCTATCTAAAACAATGTTAGACAAAAGTGGTTCTTTTAAAGGGGCTGGATTTTGTCAAACCGCTGCTACGATTCAAACGTTTGCAGAATTGCCAGATCAAGTTCAGAGGATCTTGAAAAAAGGAAAGAGAGGAAAAAGTTTGGAGAAAGAATGCAATGGCTCACCTTCTCCACCTCTTTTTTTCTCTGTTTATCACTTGTGCTTCTTTCATTATTTACCAAGTTTACTTACACTATCTGAACCGACCTCCATGATTGAAAAATATAGTTTTGTGGGAAATATTCGATTAATAAAAAAATCATTGTCGCTTTCTTTCTTTCTTTCTTTCTTTTTCATCGTTTCTTTCTTTCTTTCTTTTTCATCGTTTCTTTCTTTCTTTCTTTCTTTCTTTCTTTCTTTCTTTCTTTCTTTCTTTTTGTCTTTCATTCTTCCATTTTCTTTCTTTCTTTTTCTCTTTTTCATCGTTTCTTTCTTTCTTTCTTTCTTTTTGTTTTTCATTCTTTCATTTTCTTTCTTTCTTTTTCTCTTTTTCATCGTTTCTTTCTTTCTTTCTTCTCTTTTTCATCGTTTCTTTCTTTCTTTCTTTTTCTCTTTTTCATCGTTTCTTTCTTTCATTTTCTCATTTTCTTTCTTTCTTTTTTCTCTTTTTCATCGTTTCTTTCTTTCATTTTCTCATTTTCTTTCTTTCTTTTTTCTCTTTTTCATCGTTTCTTTCTTTCTTTTTCTCTTTCATTTTCTCATTTTCTTTCTTTCTTTTTTCTCTTTTTCATCGTTTCTTTCTTTCCTTCTTTTTTTAATTCTCTGTTTCACTCT